TTAGCTTTCGCAGTTAACTAGTACACCCCCATTTTCAACTACCACTGCTTTCCGCTGTACCCCTCTCCTCTCCCCTTTTCCCCTCCCGCCCAGGCCAGGATATCAATGACGTGAGTGGGACTATGTCCGCGCCCATCCCCCTGCCTGATTCATCACCATTGGTACGCGACGTGAATTCAAATTTGCCGCCTTAGCAACTGATCTTAGCCGTACGCCAACGGAACGCGCAGCGTTTGCAACGTCGGTTTAGAATACATCTCACTTATTCCTTGCGCACATCTGTTGGATGGCTGTGCATTGTGTGTGCAGGGGCGGTGTGTGGTGGTGTGCAGCATCTGTGTGTGGTACAGGGCGTCGTATGCGTGTAAGGGACTACGCGTGGTTTGAGTGTGGATTGCGTGTGGTTTGCACACCAGCGGTCAATTGGTGTGTACGACGACTGCGTGTGGGTGTGTGAGACATGATTGGTACCACACAGCACAACCGATTCATTGTACTTTCATTTGGCGGCTGTATCGTATTTCATTTTGCTAGCAAATTCGCCTGGAAAAGAGGATCTGGGAAAGCTCTGGACTTACATGAGAAAAACGTATGCTGTTTTATTACAAACGTTCTTTGCACATTCGTATTCCTGTAGGCCTTTTGAAGGCAGACACAAAGGATCTTTTTGAAAAAGTTGCTGTTAGCCCCAATTTTCAAAGTGATGGGAGAGGGAGCCATCGCTAACTCGCAGATAACTATTAGCAGGTATGACCCCTACGCTGTAGCCTAACACTTGGGCTCATGTTGGCCGTGCTCTGGTCCCTTCCGGTATGCAGGAATAAAGGCGTCGTTTGGAATGAAGTTTGTGCATTATATACCCGCACGGACATCCAGGTGTACGGTTATTAGTTTTTTGCATGAACTGCGGCCGTTTTTCCGGTAAACGCTCGCTTTATGAAAAAGTGAAAAATGCAAATTATTTGAAAAAATGCAAATTTCCAGTCCGCTAAAACTGGAAGTATTGATCGTGCGGTCGTTTGCCAAGAAATAGAAGTATGCAAATGAGCTAATGTTTATTTACATATTTGGGTGAGGGTAGTCGTTCGTTGTAAAACACGCTCGTTTCTGATTTTGATTTTGATAAGGTTGAATATTTCTCACGCCTAGCTGCAGAGGATTTCACCTCCAAGCAAAATTAAGATTGCACTTGAAAGTGGAAAATCTCAGCGAATTTTCAGCCTCGCACTTTGTCCGGTAAGCGAAATATCCATTTCGCTACATATATCTTTGAAATGCTCTAAGTCGTGGCGCAAGTGTAATCCAGTACTCATTGTAGGTATACGATTTCCCATGTGGGCATTAAACAAGCTAACAAAATTTCAGCCACTGTTTTCTGGCAAGTGATCGAATTAGCACAGTACCAACTTGCAAACTTTGGCGTGATTGTACGCGCTGCACAAGCGCGGCGACAGCTGAATTTGAAAACTTTAGCTTGCACATGCACAGACAATTTTCCTGCAAAGTTTAAGCTCTGTACTTTCCCTGGTTAGCAAAATCGTTGTCAGCCAAATAAATTTGCACATCTTTTCAAGGGTCCGTACGCGGGATCCAGGCGCAAGTGGGAGAAGATCCTTAAACGGAAGGATGAAACACAGGGCTGGAACATATACCCAAAATCTCAGCCTCCCATCTTTCCTGGTTACTGAGATTTAAGTGGGTGACAATGTTCACTCGCTTCTGAACACACACGCAGGCCAGCTTCCGACATATGTGCTTTTGCTGGTTGTGACAGCGCTATAGTGCAGCACAGCAAAAACGCATAAAAATTCAATAAACATAGGAACTGGTAGTGCTTCGTGGTATTCTGTTTGCTCTGTTGCAGAATCTTGATTTTTAAACGAGGTTCATGGCTTCTTCCGCTCTGAAGTTTACAACAGTTTCACTGCCCAAACATAAATCGCGCGCCATGGAACTTGGCAATTGATTGCAACTTATTTATCCAGTGCCAAATTCACAGCTTTTTGGTTGCATTGAGGTTGTAAATTTAACCTGAAATTGAAGTTGAACTCATGCGTCGCGAAATCCATGCAGAGTGTCAGGAAGGACATATTTGAACTTGCCTAATTATGTAGTCGCGTATTAAAGAAGAGGGCAGCAACTTCAAATTTGCACTTCTACTGTCATGTGTTGTTGAGAATTGACACTTTTTTGTGAATTAGACGTCAAAAGAGTTCTCCTTCTTCGCATACTACCTCAGGAAACATTGAAATTTGAAGGCTACTTTCAAGACATTTAGCTCTCATCGTTTAATGAATCCCAGATTTCCAAACACAGAAGACTAGTGATTCCGAATATAAACACCAATCAGAATTTAAACCTCATGTCACGTGTAAAAACATCAGAAAATCTAAAAGCTTGTTCAAGCTTTGAGATTCTGTGACAACTGAGTTGTCCGAGCGCGAACACACACGCACACACATACATACATATAAGCGTACTGCCGAGGAAAAACGCCTAGAAGGGGGAAAGGAATCAAAGGAAGCAAAAGAAATACAAAATTAACATAAATTTGGATTTTTGCGATACTGTAATTCCTTTTGTAGTAACGGTGCCGCCGTCATTCAGCGGCACCAACATTAATTATGTATGCAGCTCTTTTTTTTAACTCGACCCAGCTGGAGCGAGGCCGAGCTCCAGATGGGCTCAGTAGCCGACTTTTTCCCCTAAATTATTAGTGTCAATATTTGTTTTCGTACCGACCAGGACGCCATCCACCAACTTCAGGACACCATCCGCCAACATCAGACTTTACCTTCCACCATTTTTATGTGTTTTTTGCAGCTGTGCAGTGCAAAAAACACTTATTGACGAGGAGTTGTCTGTGTGTGTATGTGTGTGTGTGTGTGTGTGTGTGTGTGTGTGTGTGTGTGTGTG